AACGTTCAGATCCAGATATAGTCGGAAGGAGTAACCATGGCCGACTCAGCCGGCGGCGATGCGGCTCCGAGCCAGGGGTGGAGTGCGAACTCCGGTCTGCCTCGAGTTTCATCACCCCAGCCGCAGCTCCTTCATCAAGCCGAAGTACCGGTGGGCGTCGTGGCAGTGGACGAATCCACCTCAACCTCGGGACAGATGGGTTTCCGCCATTAATGGCGGTTTGGAGCTCATAAAGGTGTGTATTTCGGAGTTCCAACCACCGTACTCCGTATACTATTGCTCTGCTGCGACCACGATCCCCTCTGACCGCCCGTGCTCTGCTGCAACCACCATACCGCCGGCAGAAGGTGGTCGGCGTATGAGCTACGTCCGAGTTGATAGAGGGAGCTCCACCTGCCTTCTTAGAGATACACTGTATATAATGAATATGGCCCTCAGAAGACCACGTCTGCGTGTTTGGAGCCAAGCAATGGGGGGCCACCTTCTTTGGGGAGTTTTGACCAAGTCACAATATGTTGGAAGCTCAATTTGATCAAGTCAGACCTTTTCATCTAACCGAAACTTATCTCCAAGAGCTAAGTATCACATATGCTCCCTCATTCACATGTTAATTAAGTTTCAATAATGTTATTGCTATTAATTATTATCACATTATTTAATAGGGATAAAAGTATCCCGAACTTAAATAATGTCGAGCATGGCTCAAGTGAGTAACGCTCTTGTGGTAATAATTACTTTTCACCGTCATTTTAATTAATGATTGGTTGTTATGGGCCCGTCGGCCCGCTCCTGATCGGCTTTAATTAGCGAGCGGAGTATACTTGAATGGCCTTTGATAGGGAAATATCATTGTTATTACCTGTTACATCATTATTATTTATTAGGGATAAAATGTCCCGAATTAAATAATGTGGAGCGAAGCTCTGGTGATGGTTGGTTCAGCCAACATTTTATTGAATATTTAATTTCTTATGGGCCTGTTGGCCCACTCTCGATCAGCTTGATTAAGCGGTCCGAGCGTCTCCAGAAGGGCGATGTCCCGATGACGCGTTTTAATTTGAGGGTTGCACGTTAGTCCGCACGGCACCAAGTGCTCGAGCGACGATCGTACCCTAGTACAATCTACGCCATTAGGCGCAAAGTGACTATTGCCGAACGTGGCCTATGGGGCCCGAGGGCACCAAAGCACTCAACCTCGTTTTTCTGAGGTCAGTGCGACCAACTTGGGTCTGAATTTGAAAACTCACGGACCGATGAATATCTCTATGTGACGTTCGGCGGGCTGCCAGTTGGCCCCGCCGCGAGCTGCTACATCCATTAGTCCCGCACGATGAGCCGGGCCAAGGGTCACGATGACCCATGTGGATGTTGATGAGGAAGCCATGCAGATGGTTATGTGTGCATATTTATTGTCGGGCCATACGGCCCGTTACCATGCTCATTGCGCAGCTGAAGCCGCTCGACGCGCTCGAGCGGAATGATTAAAAGACGCTCGGCCCGAGTCTTGAAGACGCTCAGGGCCAGCTAAAGAGGAGACCATCACGGCTGAGGACCGTGAGACGAGCATCTCCACCTAGAGGCTGAGGGCCTAGAGGAGACCACCACGGTTGAGAACCGTGGGACGAGCATCTCCACCCCAGAGACCGATGGCCTAGGAAGAACACCTAGAGGCCGAGGGTCTAGAGGGAACTTCCACGGAGAATCGTGAGACGATCATCCATCATTCAGAGGCCGAGGGCCTAGAGGAGACCATCACGGCCGAGGGCCGTGATACCATCCTGATTTGCAGGCCGGCCCCTCATTGCCGACACTGCCACATCATGTTCGGCCTCTCGTCGCCGACATCATCATACCACGACCGGCCTCTCGGCTCGGCGTGCTTATCTCTTGAAGACCGGCCTCGTCCCCGCCCTCGCGGACGAGGGCCGTTGCTTGATTCTTTCAGATCGGCCTCTCGGACCGGCGTGATTATCATTTTCGAAGACCGGCCTCGTCCCCGCCACCTCGCGGACGAGGGCCGTTGCTTGACCATGTCTTGATCGGCATCTCATGGCCGACATTATCATACCACGACCGGCCCCTCGGCTCGGCGTGTTCATCCTTTGAAGACCGGCCTCGCCCCCGCACTGCGCGGATGAGGACCGTTGCTTGGATTTCAGGTTGGCCTATCATTGCCGACATCATTATATCACGACCGGCCTCTCGGCACGGCGTGTTTATCTTTTGAAGACCGGCCCCGTCCCCACACCTCGCGGACGAGGACCGTTGCTCGATTCTTTCAGATCGGCCGCTCATTGCCGACACCATTATACCACGACCGGCCTCTCGGCTCGGCGTGCTTATCTTTTGAAGACCGGCCCCATCCCCGCCACCTCGCGGATGAGGACCGTTGTTTGATTCTTTCAGGTCGGCCTCTCACTGCCGACACTATCATGTTATGTCCGGCCTCTCGGCACGACACATTTATCTTTTGAAGACCGGTTTCATCCCCGCACTGCGTGGATAAGAGCCGTTGCTCGGATATATCGGCCTGACCTGGACACTATTGCCGTCTCCATTATCAGGACCGACTGCTCAGCGACATTATGATCATTGTATATCGGCTCCCAATGCCGACCTTCTTGAGTTAGCGATCGGGCTCACCCCTCCCTTCAGGAGGATGACCATCGCCTTCGCATGACGACTAGCGTCTCCATCGCCTCGTCATTATATTCGTTCGCTATGCCACCACTATTATGTGTGACATCCCGTGATCCCTGCGAGTTTCTTGGATACCGCATGTCTTCTTCGATGTAGGAAGATCGGTAGGACCACAGACCAGGGACGGACTAAGAAGAGCTAGGGAATCTCGATGCAGATAAACCTGTCCCTCCTTGTGATGTCTGCGGATACCGAACGTCTCCTCGAAGTAGGGACGCCGGTAGGACCGAGGACCAAGGACGAACGAAGCACCAGGGAATCTCGATGCAGATAAACCTGTTCCTCCTTGTGATGTCTGCGGATACCGAACGTCTCCTCGAAGTAGGGACGCCGGTAGGACCAAGGACCAAGGACGAACGAAGCACCAGGGAATCTCGATGCAGATAAACCTGTTCCTCCTTGTGATGTCTGCGGATACCGAACGTCTCCTCGAAGTAGGGACGCCGGTAGGACCAAGGACGAACGAAGCACCAGGGAATCTCGATGCAGATAAACCTGTTCCTCCTTGTGATGTCTGCGGATACCGAACGTCTCCTCGAAGTAGGGACGCCGGTAGGACCAAGGACCAAGGACGAACGAAGACCATAGATTACCTCCCTCAAAAAAAAAAAAAAAAAAAAAAAAAAAAAAAGGGAGAAGAGGAGGGTAGCTCCTATACGGAAGGGAATCTTGCCCGGGTGTGCCAGATCTTCCCCCACCGCCGAAGACGAACGCCTCTCGATGTAGAGGTTAGTAGAGACGTGGAGGGGGCTAGACGAACCAAGGGAGCCTGCCAAGATAAACCTGTTTATCCCACAAATGACCATGGATCGATGGACGTGGGATAACAAAGACGGGAACCCGTGAGGGTAAACCAGTTCGTCCATGCGAGTTCCTTGGGTACCGAACGTCTTCTTCGATGCAAGAGACGCCGGTAAGACTAAAAGGACCAGGGACGAACGAAAAAGGGAGGGAATCTCGATGTAGATATACCTGTTCCTCATTGCGATGTCCGCGGATACCGAACGTATCTTCGATGTAAGAACGCCGGTAGGACCAAGGACCAATGACGAACGAAGACCAGAAGACTCCAAAAAAAAAAAAAAAAAAAAAAAAAAAAAAGATGCCAGAAGAGCACGGAGCAAAGAATGATTTTATCCCTTGGCACTATTGGCTGTGAAGTACAAACTGAAAAACATATGTAAAGAATAATTACAAGACTTAAGTACGAAGAATGAAGTGGCCGACGACGATCGGCTAACATCAGGGTTTCTTTTGCCTCGAATGACGATTAGCTCCCCAGATCAGGTAGAAGGGACATCGCCCAGATTTATTTCAGGCTCACCATTCCTTCCCGGATGGAGTCCTGGCAGACGATCGGCTTCTCACAGTCAATCAGGAGAGAGACTTGACACATCACCAGCACGGCCGAGGGCCGTGGGACGATTACCACTCACCGACAGGCCGAGGGCCATGAGATGATCATCACTATTTTTCTGTATCACGGTTCGGCTCGCCCATTCCCTCCAGGATGGCGACGACCGTCTTATGTAGCACGATCGGCTTCTCAGCGCCATCGTGTCTCTTTCACGTTCGGATCGCCCCATTCCCTCCAGGATGGCGACGAACGTCTTATGCAGTGCGATCGGCCCCTCAGCGCCATCGTACCTGGCTTCACGGTTCGGCTCGCCCATTCCCTCCAGGATGGCGACGACCGTCTTATGTAGCACGATCGGCTTCTCAGCGCCATCGTGTCTCTTTCACGTTCGGATCGCCCCATTCCCTCCAGGATGGCGACGAACGTCTTATGCAGTACGATCGGCCCCTCAGCGCCATCGTACCCAGCTCACGTTCAGCTCGTCCATCCCTTCCAGGGTGGCGACGAACGTCTTATGCATCACGATCGGCCCCTCAGCGCCATCGTGTCCAGACTCACGGTTCGGATCGCGCATCCCCTCCAGGATGGCGACGAACGTCTTATGCGGTACGATCGGCCCCTCAGCGCCATCGTACCTGGCGTCACGGTTCGGCTCGCCCATTCCCTCCAGGATGGCGACGACCGTCTTATGCAGCACGATCGGCTTCTCAGCGCCATCGTGTCTCTTTCACGTTCGGATCGCGCATCTCTTCCAGGATGGCGACGAACGTCTTATGCGGTACGATCGGCCCCTTAGCGCCATCGTACCTGGCTTCACGGTTCGGCCCGCCCATTCCCTCCAGGATGGCGACGACCGTCTTATGCAGCACGATCGGCTTCTCAGCGCCATCGTGTCTCTTTCACGTTCGGATCGCCCCATTCCCTCCAGGATGGCGACGAACGTCTTATGCAGTGCGATCGGCCCCTCAGCGCCATCGTACCTGGCGTCACGGTTCGGCTCGCCCATTCCCTCCAGGATGGCGACGACCGTCTTATGCAGCACGATCGGCTTCTCAGCGCCATCGTGTCTCTTTCACGTTCGGATCGCGCATCTCTTCCAGGATGGCGACGAACGTCTTATGCGGTACGATCGGCCCCTCAGCGCCATCGTACCTGGCTTCACGGTTCGGCTCGCCCATTCCATCCAGGATGGCGACGACCGTCTTATGCAGCACGATCGGCTTCTCAGCGCCATCGTGTCTCTTTCACGTTCGGATCGCGCATCTCTTCCAGGATGGCGACGAACGTCTTAGGCGGTACGATCGGCCCCTTAGCGCCATCGTACCTGGCTTCACGGTTCGGCTCGCCCATTCCCTCCAGGATGGCGACGACCGTCTTATGCAGTGCGATCGGCCCCTCAGCGCCATCGTACCTGGCTTCACGGTTCGGCTCGCCCATTCCCTTTCAGGATGGCGACGAACGTCTCTTATGCAGCACGATCAGCGCCCCAGCGCCATCGCGTCTGGCTCACGTTAGGGTCGCCCATCCCTTTCAGGATGGCGACGAACGTCTCTTTATGCAGCACGATCAGCGCCCCAGCGCCATCGCGTCTGGCTCACGTTAGGGTCGCCCATCCCTTTCAGGATGGCGACGAACGTCTCTTTATGCAGCACGATCAGCGCCCCAGCGCCATCGTGTCTGGTTCACGTTAGGGTCGCCCATCCCTTTCAGGATGGCGACGAACGTCTTTATGCAGCACGATCAGCGCCCCAGCGCCATCGTGTCTGGTTCACGTTAGGGTCGCCCATCCCTTTCAGGATGGCGACGAACGTCTCTTATGCAGCACGATCAGCGCCCCAGCGCCATCGTGTCTGGTTCACGTTAGGGTCGCCCATCCCTTCCAGGATGGCGACGAACGTCTCTTATGCAACACGATCAGCGCCCCAGCGCCATCGTGTCTGGCTCACGTTAGGGTCGCCCATCCCTTTCAGGATGGCGACGAACGTCTCTTATGCAGCACGTCTGCCCCTCGGCGCTGACATGCCCGGGTTATCGTTGAGAGCTACCGCTCCTATCACATCTTGCATTCCCTCTCTCATACATTGCACCCATACATTACATGCATTCATGCATCATACCTCATACATTCATACATACACACGTGCATCATGTTTTGACAGTACCGCGACGTCGGTTTATAGATGCATGGACCTCTAAGCTTCTCCGATTGGAAAGCTCGAGTCAGAGTCCTTTACTCCCGCCTGATGCATTCAGGGGCAGTGTGCCCGTGGAGGAGCACCCTTCGCCCGACCCTGTCGGGAAGGGGGGTGCCTCACTGGTAGATTACGTTCAGGAGTGATGACACTCACTCATATATGATGATTATGTGAAGACACAGTTTCCAGCAAGACAGAGGAAGAGCGCAGGCAAAGTATATTTTCTCGAGCAGATTCGCGAGCTCACTACTCAAGAAACTGGGGGACTTGTGTTGGGATATATTATCCCGGCCTATTACTGTTCATGAGTCCAAGGCTTTACGTAGTACGGGGCCCGAGCAGCTAGGCCCATTACGGCCCATCCGGCCCACTTTAGCCATTTGGGCCCACTCTGGCCCGTTTGGCCCATTAGGGTGGAGAGCCCCTTCTCCCCTTCCCCTATTTATAGGAGGCTTCCCTCCATGTTTTGGGGATCCTCTTTTAGATTCATCTTCCTCCTTCTCTTAAACTTAGCTCAATACTCCATTAATGGGAGCTTGTACAATGTAATTGTGAGGAGAGTCCTAATGAGAAAGAGAGGGCTTGGACATTAGCCTAAAAAGTCCCGTGGTTTTCTCCCTTTCGGGTTTCCACGTAAAAACTGAGTTGTTCATACACATTTATACATACATTTACTATATTGTGTTGGATTAAACTCAACAACTACTAATTGTTAAATATTGTATTGAACTTCACATAAAATATACTTTTCAACATTTTATTTGAATATTTATTATAGAAATAAATATTTGTTTGTCATGGTTGTAATTTTTTAATTGTAATTATAATAATATTGATAGTAAAAGAACAATATGTATGATAATAAAATTCAAAACTATATTTTTATATTTTGGCCCGCGAGCCAACCCGCAACCCGGTGGGCCAACCCACTTAATCCCGCAACCCGCGTGGGTTGACCCACGAAACCCGTGAACTAAATGGGTCAGAAATTCTCAACCTTAACCCATCAATAAATGGATTTAAACGGGCCAGCACGCAGGTTCCGGCCCATTTTGACGGCTCTACACTAGTCAAAGTAATGGTATAAATCTAAATTGAAATAATTAAATCATACTTCGGTCCAGTTAGGTCCGGACCGGTTCTCATTTTATGAGAACCGGTCAGAATCGGTACGGTCCGGTTCGGCACAAAAAAAATTGAGATCTGTTTCAAACCCCGTTTTTTGGTCCGATACATACCGGTTCGGTATTTTTGCCCACCCCTAATATTTTCTCTCTTGCTAATCTTTTAAGATGTTTGATTGAATAAACTTTTAGAGGATAATTTAAACAAACACCTTTACAAAGTAGAGAAAGTAACACAATCATTATTAGCATTCACATCACTCACATCACATTTGGAAAAAAGAGAAATTAAATTATCACTTAAAATCATCACCAGAACAAGAGTCAACAGATCTAGAGTGATAAGTACAAAAATTAGGTGAACTGTCTGAAATATAACTGGAGGAACTAGCAGAAGAACTAGAACGAAAACAATTTCTAAAACTATTACAAGACTTTTCAACAAAATTGAAGATTTTAGAAATCTTCTTGGGTTGCTCAAGTCTTGTCTCCTTGCTAGCATCATTCTTTGGAATCCAATTCATCCTTCCCGCATAGTGATTACAAAAAAAAATCTTGTATGGGGAGGTGGAGAAGAAGATCACTCCCTTTTTCTTATAAAAGTGTTTTTTTCTTTTATTCTTTTTAGAAAGGGAATTATCAGGAGTTTTCAAGCTATGAGAGGGTTGACCTGTTAATTCAGAAATTTTCATTAAAAGTTTTTCCTTTTCATTTTTGAACCGTTCTCGTTCTTCTTCAAAAGAAAAACGGGGATAAATAAGCCATTTTCTTTATTATAGCAGGAAAATATGGTTCAGAAACCTCAATTGTAGAGGTTTCTTCCTCATTGGACACAGTTTGATTTTTAGGAGGAGAGAGGGCAATATAGTCTTCAGATACATGAATTTGTCTAGTAGCATAGCTATCATTAATTAAGAGCAGTATAATCAATTCTAATTTTAGCTTTTGCCCTATTTTCCCTTTTGTCCTCTTCTTCCTCATTAATTTCAGAAGCACAAGTAAAATGCATTAATTTAGCTAACCCTAGCTTCATGTACCTAATGGCATAAAATTGTTTGCAATCAACCTTTTACAAATTTTCTGGGTTTTGATATCCTAGGCCTGCTCTTGGGTCGTAAAATTCAGTGTCCTTTGGTTTATTATTTAACAAAAAAAAAACAATTTGTTCTGATTGACCTCTCTTAGCAAGAATATCCTCTAACTTCTTTATTTTGGAATAAAGATGACCTTGTTCCTTATTAAGAAGTTCAAATGAGTAACAGCTTCAGAAAGTTTTCACTTATTTTCATCTAGATCCTTAGTTAAGTCACTAACAGTTTGCTTAAGTTTTCCTACTTCAGACTCTAACTTAGTGGCTTTATCTTGTAAATTTTTTAAGCGTACACCTAGATGTATTCCTTGTTCATTTGTTTTTCCCGACAACGTTGATTATTAACAAGTCTGTCTTCAAGTTCCTTTATCTTATTTCTTTCTTGTTTTAATGATGAAATTTGCTCATTTATTTCAATGCATTGCTCAGTAATTAAAAAGTGTAGGTTACTTACCTCATTCTCAGCAGATGGACAACTTATATCTTCCTTAGAGCAATCACTTTCTCTTTCAACATTTGTAACGTGAGCCATCAGTCATACAGTGCCATGTTCTCAAGCTCGATGTCATTAGAATCCTCTAGCCAGTGGTCATGTTCAGCCATTAGAACAACTCCTTGTTTTTTCTGCTTAGCAAGTCGTGTCTTTTGCATGTAGTAGTTGAAGTCTTTCTTCTTTGCAGATTTGCAATCTTTAGCAAAATGACCAGGCTTGCCACATTTGAAGAACTTCAAATGGTCTCCACTAACGGCTTTATCAGAAGGTCCGCTAACTTTGTCAGTATAATTGAATGAAGAAGTTCTTTGCTTGTTGGATGATGGGGTTCTAAACCTTGTGAACTTCTTATTCATCTTCTTTGTAAGATTAGTCAACAAGGCCAACTCTTTCTTTAGCTCGTTGGTTTCAGGATCATAACCAGACTTGTTCTTTTCTTCATCACATGAATCAACTTCAATAGTGATTTTGGGTGCCTTGTCTTTCTTCTTTCTTTCAGTAGACAGAAGAGCAAGAGAATCAACAATATTCCTTTCTTTAGAGGTTTTCATCTTTTCAAGCACATCCTCAGAAAATTCTCCTAGGAAATCATAAACGCTGTGGATGGTCAGCTCATCCAAATCTTTATTATTTTGTCTGATTCTTTTAGTTGTCTTCTTCCATTCAGGCTTAAGAGATCGTAGAAAGCGTAGATCAACTTCCATGTTGGTTTTGCGGATATTGATCTTTCTCATCTCATTCAGGACAATCAGATAGCGCTGGTAAGTATCCTTCAGATCTTCATCGGCTCTTGTTGTAAAAGAGTCGTAAGCACTAAGAGTGTGAGCTTTTACCAACATCAGTTCCTTACATAATTTGGTGAATCTCATCACACATATCTTTAGCTGTAGTCAGGTTGTCAATTTGCATAAAGAGTTCATTGGGAATGGATTGAAGCAGATAAGTAGCACATAATTTGGTATTCCCCTTTCACTCGATTTGAACATCAGTTTCTTTGTGGGTTTTTAAGTGTCACCTCATCCTCCTGTGCCTTGTCTAGCTCCAGGGATGGATTTAGGGGGGGGGGGCGGGGGGCGACCGCCCCCCTTGGATTTTCAAAATTTTTTACCATATATGTAATATTTTCATAGAACTTTCATAATTTAATTAGATTCGCCCCCCTTAGCTTTTAATTTTCAAAATTAATATATAGTCTTACATTATGTAATACTTAATTGGAGATTTGAAAGAAATAACATCTAAAATAATTTACATAACTTAAACAAATAAACAATAGAATAACTCGTTGTTTAAGATTTGGGATACTTATTATATAAAAATTCCTAGTTTTGTAATGTTTAATTATATTTATTAGATAACAAGTACTGGATTTTGTAAAATATATATCAAATGATATTAAATACCAGACACACTAATTACACAGTATTTAGATCACGTGAAATGATCCAAAATATAAATGTTTATTGAAATTAAAGTACATAATTTGTTTACTTCTTGCTTTCTAAAAAATAATTTATTGCATAGATAATAAACTTTAAATTATTATAGCATTAATACAAATATTAAAATATAATATGTACCATATATATAATATGTGGTGCATATTATCTAAAAATAATAATCCCATAAATATTACTATTGTAATATTAAGAAAATTTCTCATGAGTCATGACTCACGAACACCCTCCTTGGTAGACAAAAATTACAATTCAATAACCGATTCATGAGATTAAACAATGTAGAAGTTATTTAAAATGTATTGGTTGATGTCTTTGTCATTGTCTAAACTTAGAATGTAATAGATTTAAATATCGTTGGGAATGTTTATGTATTTGTTGGGTTAAGGGCCCAAGCCGAGGTCCGGCCCACTAACCCATTTCGCCAGACGAACGTCCAGTTAGATCACTAGGCCAGCACACAGGCCCATGTTCCTTGAGGATGGACGAACGTCTGGTGTTGGGGGACTCAGGCCCAGCAGCTCATCCCGACGAACGTCTGTGCAGGGATAAGGAGCAGAACCACGGGCCACCAGGGACGGCGACGAACGTCCCCATAGCAAGCCTGTAGTCATCGGAGAAAACCCAGTCCACATGGTGAGTATCTGTCAAGGCCAGGAGACGAACAGCCGATATCTCCCAAGGGTCCCTTGGAGCAATCCAACTCACTTCCCGATGGACGAACGTCCCCACTGATCCAGCGGGAAACCTAGATTCTGGCGGGAAGTGCATTTAATGCTAAAGATTTGGTAGTTGGGACACCAGCGGTCCACAGGCTGCCACGTCACTACAGCCACCTGCCCATTGGCGGGTATAAATAGAAGCATTTATTCCATTGTAAAGGGTTGGCAACTTTCTATTCTTAGCATACTAGCTTGAGCATTCTTATTCGCAGCATCTCTAACTGCCTGTAAGACGAACGGCCGACGTGCCTTGTTTAGCAAGTAGATTGTACTTAGGGGAGTTATTACGGAGTTAATAATACCTATTTACATTGCCTGCTATTATTATTGTTTCCTGATTCATCTCATAGTTGTTGGGCTAGACATCCATACATTTCACTCCACTCGAAACCTTTGGGCTTACGTGTTGGGTCCACGGGTTGAAGGAATAAACCTCAACACTGGCGCCGTCTGTGGGAAACTGAACAAAAAAGTTTCCAGAAACTCTCCCAAACAGCTACTAAGTCTACCTACTGCAAATACGATGTCAGGAAGCAACACCCAGCGTGATCTCTCCGAGCGTCTGGAGTCGAGCCGCCGGAATCGCGGCCAGAACTCGGAATTATCCGCGACAATATGGACTTCAGGGGGAAACGGGGGTATCACTGACCTCATTCCTCTGGAGGCCAGGCAGGATCCCCGCCTCATGCGTGAACTCGCAGACACCATGCGTCGCATGGCGGACGAGCGGGAGGCCCGAGAGCAGGTGTACTCTGCAAGCACTCAGCGAACGCCCCTCTCTCCCATACGCCGCATGCAGTCGTACGATGATACGA